TCACAGTCGAATATTACATACTCGGATAAATATTTTTAATCACAACTGATAAATATAATTTAGAATATTCAAAATTGTTTCTACAATGTAATATACACTTTTTTTGGTATAATTTAAAATACTTTATTTCTTAATTAATTTTCAATATTTTCTTTTATCTATATTCATTTTTTAATTTTAAAAAATGCAGATTTATATTTATTTTTTACTACATTTATATATATTTATTCTTTTTTTTCTAGAACTTCATTTTTTTTTTAATTTAAATTTTATTTTTATGTTTTGACTGAAGTTTTCATTTGAATTTATTTTTACACTTTTTTTTCAAAGGTAGTAATTCTCAGGTAAATCACATATACCTGAAAGCAGACTATAGCCTATTGATCACTCAGGTGTAAAAATCAAAATGTTGGCTATGTGGGAATAGGATTTATTAATATACGAGCGCAAGTAGGTACATTTTTCTCCTTTGGCTGGTCACTGTATTTTATTGAAATCTACCTATATGTGAAAGGAGAAAAATGTACCTAACTGCGCTCACATGTTGTTTTATAAAAAATGGTAAAATCTAGCTGGCCTCTCCTATTATGAACAGTTCGACGAAACTATTTTTTCTGACGTAAGAATAAATTCATATGCTAATCGAGGCATCGGCGTGACTTTCTAACTGACAAATCAGCTAAATGAGATGCATTACGAGTGAGTACCACAAAAATACTAAGGAAATTTTATGCTTGGAAAAAAGGCTTTTTTACCTACTTTCCGATAAACAATTTTTTATGCATTTGAGTCACAGATTAGGCACGGATCTACAATTTCCCAGCTCATAGTTACAAACAATTGATATATATATATATATATATATATATATATATATATATATATATATATATATATATATATATATATATATATATATATAATCTAAAGTTTTGTAAAGCGTTTGGTGGGCATGCAATGCGCTAGGTCTACACGAGTGAATACAAGTTTCATGTGCATTTCTTGACCCAGAACGGTAAACGCTGAGGTTCCATGCATATTATTATGTATAAACAGCCTTGGCTGACAATTAAAAGTTTGAAATATGGTAGAGATAATGTGTAAATTGACCTAAACCACGTATCTATGATAAAATGTAAACATGTAGTAAACGACAGCATGTTTTGTCGTTCTGTCATCGGATTGGACAATTGTTCTCGGTAAGCGACTATGTGCGAAATAATAACAATAGCCATATAGGGTAAATTTCTCGGACATGCATATCCCTCTATTGTACTAAGACCCGCCTATTCTCTTTTCATAAAAGAACATATTGTCACAAACCTGGCCGAATGTTAATGTCATAGGGTCTAAAAAATCATAGATAATGCAATAATCCTTATAATTAAAATGTGTCGGAACTATTGAAACTATTCAAAAGGCGTCGTATTTATTCACACTTGTTTGAAAACTATCAAAATCGTTGTAGATTAAATATAATTCGTCATAGAAAAAGGGGCCCCAGATAGCAGTTATGTCACATCATCCTTTATCAAAGTTATTTGAGTGTTCTTCAATCTTACAATGAACATATCTCAAAAGTCCAGAAAATATGCAGTTTTCGATCTTGCGTAGCCTTTTATCTCCCTAACTAAAGTATACTGTCAAATCAACGGTAATATTTAGACTAGAAGGTATATTATCAAAATCTTCATATTGAACCGACTTCCGCTTCTACAAAAAAATAAGGGACATTTTCACCTGTAGTGTACACTTCTGGCTGATGCTATAATGTAAGTCCCGCCTCATGAATGTTCGAGAATACGTTGTATGCACAGATTGAATTTGGTGAAATTACATTAACTTTCCTTATGCTAACAATTGCTCTGCTTAGAAATATACAGCATTGGATACTTTGTGATAGTTCGTTGTGTTGCGAGTATAAGAATGTCGTATATTCTGATAGTTCATACTGTAAGTGAAATTGAAATAAACAATTCCAGCAAAGAATCAAAGCAAGGAAAAGTGTGTAGAAATATTGAATATTTTCATTGTTTCTTTTTCACAGCATTGGAAAAGGCAGAGAAATTCCTCAGTCTCGTGACGAACAATAACCCGAGGCTGGTGGTGGATGCCTACCTGAATGCCGTGTGTTCGCGGTACCCCGCCCCCAGATATGTGGTGGGGTTTAGCGCCCAAGTGGTCTTCAGAATCCTTTTGTCATTACCAGAAAGTATTTCAGATTTTATTTTGTGTTCAACGCGACCGGTTCCTGTGAATATGGGAAAGCTGTAAATTTTTAACGTTGTCATTATATGGAAATGCAGCTAAAATGTTAACTGTGAAATTAAAAAGGATTTTTATTTACTAGTAGATGTATCTGTTGTATGATAGTGAGTTTATATGAGACTGAAAAAATTAAAAGCGTAATATATTTCAGTGACATTATGTGGCAGTTTTGTGAAATATTAACACATATAATATGAATATAGTAAAGTCACATCCACACAATAATATTAACAATTCATTGACTTGCAAAATTAAAAAGCAAAAAAAAAAAAAAAAAAAAAAATTACTTGTATATGATTTCATGATGTGATCATGAATATTTATTTATGTTTACTTGTAACATTGATTTATGTGCAGACACATCCAAATTGCTTTAATCTTCGTTGATATATCTTTGTTTCCATTTATATCTGTTAATAACAGAGAAAAAGGGAGTAAAACATTATAGCACTATTTTCCCACATAGTTTTGTAAAAAGAAAAAAATATATATATGACATTGTTGATGAAAGTTCTTTAAAGACTGAATCATAGTCAGTATAATGTCTTGCTGTGTAATTATATTTCATATCCAGTTTTGACTTGAATCCAAGATTCAATTTTTTAATACAATTAATAAAACAAAACAAAAAAAAAAAATCTGAAATTTTGTGGAATTTTGATTTAATATATGTCTAAAAGATCTTTATCCCACACAAGGCAGAGTATACTACCATTAAAATCTCCTTAGATATAAAAGGGGGAGGGGCCAATTATTGTATATAAGGCTTCTAGACACAATGTACAGCATCTACGCTTTTACCTTTTGCCCACCCTTAACAGTATGATACGCAAGCATGTAAATGTAATGGTGGTATATAATTACTATAACGCAATTAGACTGTAAAAAAACCTTATACATATATATGGATAAATAAAAACCCACAACAGCAATATTAATTCAGTGTTTCATAGTCTTTTTTTCACTTCTCAACTATATTTTCTGCTCCAATCCTGTTTATGCTAATTATTATGGGCTCCGGTGAATGTATAACCTCAAAACGCCTAGAGATCTAGACCCCTCCCCCTCCCCTTTCAGGTAGAACTATTTTGGCACAGGTAAAGACAGAGTCAAAGAAATTGCACCAACATTGGTAGAATGATCCCAAAATATCTAAAGTTTATCGACAGTGTTTTGCGTAAAAGGGCTTAAGATAATTGTAAAAATAACGAGGCAGTTTGTTGTCTAATCTCAGAACTTAATAATTTTTGCAACAACTTTGGGTCGTAACACAATATTGTCTGGTCCAATACACATTTTTCCACATTCATAGACATGCGTCACTTATCAATAATACCTGAATTAACCCGCTTATCTCTAAATACAGGTCAACTTTCTCTTTACAATACAGTTAATCTTACTGCCTTGTACAGATTAGCTAATCAACCTTGATTAGAAAATACAAGTCGAGGCTTTCTATCGTTAAGGTCGAAATTCTCAGGTGTTGTGTATTGCTGCATTATAAAATATTGATAATGTAGAAATGGAGACTTGTGGTTTATATATTTATAGACTGATTGGGAATATGTAGAAGAATTGTGAAATATATAATTCAGTTAAACTAATTTATTGGGAATTTCTGTTCAAAATGCCATCAAAAGAACCTCAGTGGCTGAGTGAATACCAACGGGTCAACGACAAGCAACAACAGTATCTACGCAAAATTCACGAATTGAGGAGAAGCCTCCAGAATCGAGAGGAGCAACTGATGATGATAGCGATAGAGAGGCAGAGGTTACTCCGGGGTAGACGTAAAAACCCGAGGAATCCGAAAATGACAAGCATAACGGACACCCACATTCAAAATGGACCGCAACCTTTTCCTCACAGACAGAACGAAAAGCGATTTTATCTATCTCCTACATTTGTTCCTAGAAAACTTGCTCCAATCATAAAAGGGAAACAAATCGTGGATACTCGGTCTGAGTCGTCTGAGATTGACCACGATAAGGAGTCCATTGATATTATAGCCAAACGAAACAACATCAGTTTCATTGGTCAGTTTTCTTCACCAGCCTGCAGTCCCTCTCCGAGACTATTTCCGAAAGAGAGACAACTTCTGAATATGTCACGTGTTTCCTTCAAGGAGGTGGATAAAAGTAGACCATCGGTGGCCTCAGTAATGACAGTTCGACCAGTGATGGAGTATATTACGGACATTAGCACTAGAAAGGCAGTGTATTCCTCAGGAAAATAAAGTATTTGTAGTGCTATCCTCTGACATTTAGGTATACCGGAGATATTTTCTGCTAGAAGTGTTTCTGCGATTGATTATTGTGTTCGAACAACACATTAAATAATGGAATTGAGTAAGTCAGAGCACATGCAATACCATGCAGATAAGAAGACAATGATCTTCAAGTAACTATCTAACCATTTTCCTTGTAATGAATTTCTATATCATTCAGCAAGAGAAGTTTATTACCCATGTGAATATAACTTTATTTTCTGAGACTGACACTTCATTGGTAGAGAATTTGTTTAATAACGGATGGAGGAAACTCTTCGCAAGAAACAAATATGTATATTTGTCTACATTATTGTTATAGGGTGTCTGTGAAATAAAGTTACAAGTATGTAAACCAAACAATAAATTTATTTTACCTACGTACAGATCTGATCCTATATCAAAAAGATGCATGTAGATCATGGAACATAGGATGCGTTAGTAATTTGCGTCAGTAATTTAAATCCTAAAATAATAAAACTCCAGCAAAACTGGTGACGCTTGCTCTCAGTACCCAATCACTGTCATCTTGGGTTCTGACGTAAACGTGGTCGTTATTCTGAAGATGAACAATCACAGTGGTAGATCCCGACTCGTAACCACCTTCACTGTGGACAATTGATTCAGCAACTGGACTTCCGTTTACTACGATAAATGCTCTAATCCATTGTCCCGAGTGTACAAGAATTGTAGTAGTAAATAGATAGACTCCCGAACGTGGACAAATAAATATACCATCAAATGAATGATAGCCTCCTCCGTAATTTGTAATTTCTGAATCGAATATAACCGTAGAATGCTTTCCAAGAGTAACATCTTGCGAGAGTCTCGCGTAAAATGCAACATTAGATGAAATGTCTCGCTTCTCCAATCCTGAAACAAACAGTACTCTAAAAAGTACGTGTAAGATATGCACGTAGGAACTGGAGAGGGGTGGCAAGGAAGCCGCCCCCACCCCACATTAATATTGCAAGTATGTACGCTATGCAATAGTAAGGCAATGCTAAGTGAAGGTTTCGCCCCCTAAATAATGTATTTTTTAAATTAATCTATCTATTTATTTAGTGACAAGAAATCTCAGTTGTACCTCCAAGCCCTCTAAACCGACACTGCTTCCCAAGTCACAGTGCCTGTTTCAACCTACACTTCGATAAAAAAAGACAGAGATTTTCATTTATTTGTCTATGTACGAGGGCTGTTCGAAAAGTTCGCGGACTTTTGTTATATTTACTAAACGTCAAATTATATTAAAATTTAGTAGACATGTATTAAAAATAAATTCAAATGGTTTGAAATTAAAATCTCGAAGAAATAATGAAAAAATTCAAACATTCAAAATTCAAATCTTAAAGTTCTTTTTTTTTCAAAATGCTACACTCCTACAGTTTTGGTCCAATTTCGGTATAATTTGGTACATAAGTACTAAAATACATGATTCTCTTTAGTTGTTTTTGATTGCGATGAACAATGTTGCCATGGTTACTAAATATAGAATTTTCTCTGAAATTCTTTCAAAAAGCTATTCCTCCTACAGTTTTAGTCCGATTCTATATAACCAGGTACATAAGCAGTCTACACTAAGATACATAATTGCTGTCTTCGTTTTTAACTTCGATGAAAGCTGTTGTCATGGTTACTAAAAATAGAAACTTCTGTGAAATATTTTAAAAATGCCACTCCTCCTACAGTTTTTGTATGATTTCAATACAAGTTCACAAGAAGACTACAATAAGATTCATAATTCTGTATATCGTACGAAATTCTTAATGTATCGGTTTTTGATTTTGAAGAACTTTCTGTGAAATGTCTGTGGAATTCTTTTAAAACACCACTGCTCCTAGAGTTTTAGGTCGATTTCAATATAACTATGTAAAAGACTACATTAAGATACATAATTCAGTTTTTGATTATTTCAATGAACGGTGTTGTCATGGTCTAAAAAAAGAATTTTTTGTGAATTTCTTTCAAAACGCTACCCCTTCTACAATTTTAGTCTGATTTCAATACAACTGGGTACACAAGTAGACTACACTAAGATACCAGTACATAATTCTGTATATCGGTTTTTGATTATTTCAATGAACGGTGTTGCCATGGTTACTAAAAATAGAAATTTCTGTGAAAATTCTCCTCCTACAGTTTTTGTCCTATTGCAATTAAACCTGACTCTGAAAGAGACTATAGAGACAGTATGCTGTTACCACAGGTTCAGGCTAAGTGCTACCTTAATTAATTAAGTAAAAACCAGTAGAGCTACAGTCTCAACAGAGACTTCTGGTTTTTAATTTAATTTTGGATATGAATAAATATTATCTAAATTCTCAGCGTTCACTTGTCTTCGGTTGTACAAGTTGATTTAATTTTTCACTTGATTAAATTTTGTGTGATGAAACTTAAATAGCATAAATGTTTTGTTCTTTAATCAGTTACTGTTAGTTTATCTAGAAAAGAAAAAAGGCTATGCTGAGACATTAATATTGACTAAATTCTATTTTTAATCATTTATTTTTTTTTTAACAACATACGGGTAAAATACAGGTAAATCTCCGACAGAAATCATACTTTTGATGTTACCAAAACATATTTCACAACTATTGCTATATACCTTTTTTCAAATGTGTGCAAAACGGGACCAAACCTTATTTTCTTACCTTCTTTCACGGTTGATTGATTTTCACGCAGTGTGGGATTCTTCTCTATGTTCTTCACGGTTGACTGATTTTCACGCAGTGTGAGCTTCTTCTCTAAGTTATTCACGGTTGACTGATTTTCACACAGTGTGAGCTTATTCTCCAAGTTAAGGATTTTCTTGTCTTTCATCTTGATTTCATTTTCAAGGTCGAGAAAGCGATTTTTTAAAGACGAAATATCTTCCACTACATGCTTGATAATATTTGTTAGCTCGAGAACTTCATCCAAACTGAAACAAGACCGACAGCATAGTACAAATATAATGAGTACTACAAATTTTAATGTGAGACTGATCATGACGAACTTCAAGACCAATATAACTTGCTATATACGTAATGAATTCTGATTGACATAAATGATAAGAAAAATCCCTGTAGTTAATCCTTCTAGTTGGGAAAAATGTTCGTGTTGCAGATGTTTCTGCTGTTTATAATAAGGGGCTTATTATTATATAATGTACATGTATTATGATTTTGTATCATGATTTTGACCGGACATGTATAAATGTATAATGAAAAAAGGTTTGAAAATTAAGCCATTTTCTAGTTGATTTATCCTTGATTGAGATTATATGCTCCTCAACTGTATTTCAAAAAAAAAAAAACAAAAAAACAAACAAACAAACAAACAAACAAACAAACAAACAAAAAACAAGCAAACAAACAAAAACAAAATGGTATGCAAAAAAGAAGGAAAAAAGAAAGAAAAAAAGAAATTGACTTAAAAACAGAAAAAAAATTAAAAATGAAAGACCAAAAAATGTCACGTTTTTTCTACAACTACATTTAAACAAAAACAAACTAGTTAAGTTTCTACTTGTTTATTTGTACAAAAAAAATCATTTTTTTAATTTCTAACCTAATCATACTACTAACATTAAATTTAAAAAAGAAAGATAACTCTAAAAATAAAAAATGCTATTTTGTGGTTTCTTTACTTACATGTATAACCTTCAACATTTTGAAAATTTTGGAAATTTAGAAACCATTCAAAAGCTATTTTTCAACCTTAAAATAAATTACATTGCAATACACAACTTTTACTTGCTTTTTCAGAATGTGGTTACATAAAACCTTTTCTGATGGGTTTGAAAGTTCAAATAAAGAAAAATTAGTTGTTTTATTTGTTAAAAATCTGAATGGAGATCCTTCATAAATTGCATGCTAAAATGTATTGAATGAAAATATATTCAGTATGTTTGACCTCCTTTTAAAATGTTTCCTCACATATTGCAAGAAAGTAACAACATTCAAAAACTATGACATACATATGATATACAAAGGCAAAGACATATAAAATCAAATTTTATCACAATAAAATTCTGTAAGATTTAAGCGACATGAAGAGATCTCAGATATTGTCAAGATCCTTTAGATACATGTAGTTAGCTATTTGTTGGTTGTCTTTCTTTTCGTTTTCGGGCATTGAAGGAAATGTCACGATATACATGATAGTTTTACTGGTATTTTATTAACTTTTAAACATATCTAATGCTAATAATGAAGCATCAAATATCGATGTTCTAACTATGTTCATTTTTCAGAGAAAGCAAAAAAAAAAAAAAAAAAAAAAAAAAAAAGTAAATAAATAAATAAATTTTAAAAAAAAAGCCATTGCTGAACTTTACATACAAAAACTTAATATTTGATTATAATCAAGTTTCCTAGAGAACATTTAACAAAATATATAGTTCTATGGGTAAAAAAGTATTGAGAGTAATTATATTTTTTGTTGCTGAGTTTGAACCGCAGAAATATACTTATGCAACAATGCAAATGGCATTTTTACTAATGATACATGTATCTTTTAAAAGGACGCTCTCGACGAAGTTCAAATTCCATGGTAGTTTTATGTTAGGGTGAACTGCCCTTAATTTTAAATAAAATAAACGGAAATCATCAGTGGATGACAAAGTTATGAATCGAAGTATTCTTAAAATTATTTTAGACCTGAAGAAAACGAATACTTTGTAGGCATGTATTTAAACAACAATGATTTCTGTATACTAATACTTTTAGTCTGAGAACATTTTTTCCTTGGGAAATGTTGCAAATACCCTATTTTGAAAATAAAATAATTGTAAAGATTAACTTAATATACACTCCTTTCTATGATATTATTTTCTCAAAGTCAAAAAATTCATTTTTCACTGATGATAGGAGCCTCCTAAATCTTGATAGGAGCCTCATAAATCTTGCTTTCAGTATGAGCATTATTAAACAGCGACCATCTGGTTTCTACCATTTTTTAAAAAATTATCATTATCTAGATCTAATTGAAAATGAAGAGAAAACTGAAAACCAAGGAAAATTAATATGGTGTCATATTGTAATTTTTGAATTTACCAGGTGGTAGTATGTAAATACAAAAAATTACAATATGACAACTTTTTGTATTACCGGTACTACCAGCGTGGCGCAATGGTTGGAGCGTCTGCTTTAGAGAGTTGATCCTTACGTCGCAGGTTTGAATCCACCGTGCGACGCAGTAAGTGTTGGCACGAAAAAGATCCCTTATTGCTCAAAAGCCGTAAGTGCCGCATACGTCTAAATTTGCAGCTGGCAAGTGGTGGTGTCTCAAAATCTCGAAGGGACATCAAACAATCAACCGACCAAACAAACAAAACCACCTGGTAAATAAGACAATGGGACAACGATCGATGGGGAATCTATTTTAGAGTTATCGCTCCTACCAAGCAAGTGTACTGAAAATTCTTGCATAAATTCGATAGGTGTGAATCTTCTTACTAAACAAGACAAAAAAAAAGAGAACATTTTGTTCCTGTGTGCATTCTCGTCATATTCATAAACGCATATTTGCCTACAAAACTGGTAAATTACAACAGCCATTTTCATCTGAACTCCGAGTGGTTCCTCCACTGTGTTTTGTAATGGTGATGACTTTTCATGGCAGGCCCGTAGAACGCGAGGGAGGGGGGGGGGCATGGAGCCCGCCCATCCCCTATTTCTGAGTATAGTATTTTGCTATAGTAAATTTTCCTTTAGGTGCAGGTTGCCCCCCCCCTTCCCCTCACTTTTTGTTGCTGTAAAGTCGAGCACTGGCAAATTCCAGGATTTAGACAGTTAATTGGGTTTTTTTTTTTTTTTGGCTTGTCAGATATTTTGGGAAGTCCCCCCACCACCACTTCTGAAACCGTCGCTACGGGCTTACATGGAGCCGCCCAGAGGAATAGGAGTCTTTTTGTACATCCTTAAATCTTCTGTTCTATTGTTGAGTTGTAAAACCAATCAGATGATCTTTTAGTTTTTCCTGACATTCCGTTAATGAATGCACCCAACTGTTATCCATAAAATTATTCTTCGTAAGAAAACAACTCTCATTTTTACAATGGAACATTATCTTACATTACGTTCACGGTGTATAAGACCTTTATTTTCAACGTGAACGCATAATAGATTCGTCATTCAAGAACCTAAAAAACATAGCCATTGACCAGTTTCATGCAAAAGCTACATGTATATCATAAATGGGTCTTGGCAGTGCCTCTTCTAAACTTGAATTACATGTTGTTTTTTGTTCCCAGTAATGAAGCAAGGATTCATATTAAGAATGTGCATTATCTGTTTTTATAGCGACAATTTTAAAGACTTGAAACCTTCCTCCTTTTTTAAACCAGATCCCCCCATCATCATGAGCACTAAAAACTAATCTTTTTTTTTTGTATGTTCATAAAAAATCTCAGAGCAATATCCTTCATGTACATCCCTGGCTTGGAATCATCTAGAATTGCAACATATCGTGAATATATTCAGAGACGAATACCAGGCTGGGTTTTTAATTCACTGAACTCATTAAGTATACTGAAGTCTTTTCTACCTTTTTAAAACAAATTCATTTTAAATCTGTGATCCTTAAATATTATGGCATAAAGGATCCAAAAGAAGGAACATAACACAGGTTTTTTTTCAATATATGCAGATTTTAATATAGATTTGTTTCCAAGCATATCACATTTTAATTTTTTTTTTTTTTGGACAAATAATGCTAGTCAAAACACACAAACAATGGTAGATGTCTATGGCTTATTTTTTCTTATCACATCAAATTAATGTTCTCAGCACTTACAGTGTAAAGAATAATGGCTTTAAAAAACTCACAGCTGTTAAAACTTCTTAACTGAATTTACATCAATGGTTAAGGGACACAACTCACATCTGCATCACAAATTATAGACTCATCTCAGGTGATGTTAAAACAAGACTTAACAATAACTCAATGATTCAATTAAAATAAACTATTAATTAAAAAAAGCCATGATAAAGAAATAGTTTTAACTCTGTTTCTTTTATTCACTTTCCAATTTGTGCGTGCAAGTTTTTTCATTTCTAAAATGACTAGTTCACAAACAATGAATAAAGGTTCAAATGAAACTAATACGTTCTTCAGAACAAAAGAATGAAGAAAATTGGCTGGAAATGGCATATAGCAATTTATATTTCAATTGTATACATATCATTTTTCAACGATTAAAAAATATACTTTTCATAGTTAATACAGAGAAAAATTAATATTTTTACATTATGTACAGATTTGGCGAGATATATGTACAGCCATAATCTCATTTTTATAATTACTTTGCAAACATTTGCCATGAAATTCTATTCACACATTTTATGCAAAGCAATTATTTCACAATTTGCATTGTTATATAATTCCACAGGAAAAAAATAAATCTCCATTCCTTAATTATATATACTGGCCATTGGTCTTGTATGCTTTTTATGTTCATTAAAACATGTATAAAAGCACCTTACGAGCTCAAATGAAGCATGTAGAGCTAACCAAGATCTTCATTTTACATGGCACAAATATTAATGACACTATTTTTTCATCTTTCATAAAACTGATTCTTTTGCTAAAATTCAGTGTAAAAAATGCAATCTATTTGAACAATGTAAATTAATTCTGACACAAATGAATAAAATTTCATCCCATTATTAGTCCACGATCAATTTGTTTTATTTCATTGGAGCAACTATTCTGACTCAATGTCAACTAGGAATGATCAGAGATGATTTGGAATACCAAATTTTTATTCAGTGTTTACAATGTCATGAAAATATTTTGATAGTTAAATAAATGTTTACACATTTTACATTTTGAATGTCACGTTGTGTACCGGTATCATTAGATGAGTATGTCAACGACCTTCCCCTAAAAAAACGCACAACTGAACCAGAGGCCTCAGCTTCGAGTTCCGACAACAGTCTAGGCTTCTTAAACACCAGCTTTGTACAAAGCCTATCAATTCTTTCTGAGAGCCTTCTTTTTTGGACTTTGCAGCAACTCTTCTCCTATTCCTTAGGGACCATCTGGTGGTACCGAGACACTAGAAGCTTTGAGTGGACTGGGCCATCTCAGGCCCGGGGGGACAAGGTTGTCATGAGGATGGGGGAGGGGGCTGTGACTGGCGGGGTTGGGCCAGCAGGGCCAGTGTTTCTGGACTCGCTGCAGCTTTTAGGATGTTGTTCTCATGCTCGAGTTGCGAGTTTTTCTCGATGAGTTCTTTGATCTGTTCCTTCAGAACTTCAACTTCTTCTCTTACGGCATACATCAAATGGCTCTTGACCAGATCCTAAAATAAATGACGCTATATAAACACAAATGTTTTTACAAAAACACATGTATCCTAAACCCACATCAAAAGATTTAATGGGCAGTTATATATTTCCTCCTTAAATCTTTATCTTCGTTTTACTGTGTATTTACAAGTTACAGGAAGTTGCAGGTGTCAAGACCTAATCACCTGTTTCATCATGTATCTTAATAACCCTAAACCCTGAGGTACAGCAATAAAAAAACTATAAATAACACACTATACCTGGTAAATAAATGTACCTAATTTAATAATCCACTGAAAGAACTATTTGCTGACTAGTAATTGAGAACATAATGTTCCAACACACAAATGTAGTCAGTGCAGCAAGTTCATCCTTTCGAAGAAATACATACTGTCAGAACTATTTGGTAACTTCTTGATTAATTTTAGAAAACATTCCATCAGTATCAATGAATTAGCTGCTTTGATTAGCATGCTGATTTTTTATTTTTGAAATTTCACTATAAATAAATCTTTCTGAGATATGAGAATTGAAGCAGACCTTAATTACTTTTGCATGTCAAATTTGTTAGGTCTTGATAATAATATTTATTTCAATACATAAAAAGCATTGAGGGATTTGATTTCTTTATTTCTCTGTTGTTGCAAAAGATAATCAAAATGTCAAATAAGTTCTGCAAAAATAGTCTGAAAACACGAGTTCTATTTCTGTGTCATTTATTAACCAATTAAGTCAAAAAGCAAAAAAAGAGACCTGAGAGAGGGGGAAAAAAAGACAAATTATCCTGTTTCTTGTGCCATTCTTCATGATAAACAACAACGACTAGTTATTTCCATAGTAACAATTACATCAACAATATCCAGTGCTGCAGAAATTGGGCAATAAAATTCACAATTGTTTTGTGTTTTTGCCAGAGATCTCCATGCCCTTGCAATCAATAAAGACCCCCTATCTGTAACTTCTGCGCAGAGACTGAATTTCTACTGACCAGAACTATACATATTACAAAGTTACTCTTAATTTTTACTTTCCCTTTGGTTTCATTAGAACAAACTCTTGATTCCTTAGAATTAACTTAAGTTTCCTTACAATCACCTTTGGTTCCCTTAAAATTCGACCAGATTCCCTTAAAATCGCCTGTGAATCCCTTAAAATTATCCTTGATTTTCTTAGAACTATCTTTAATTTCCTTAAAATTTTTGCTTGCCTCAGAATTATTCTTTGATCAACATGTAAAAATTGTGGTACTCACCATAGCTTGCTCAATCTTGTTATCAATGGCTACTGTGCTTGAACCACTGCAAATAAAATAAAAACATCATTATTATCTCATTAAATATTCATACTTCAGCTATAAAACATTGTTAAGATAACTCTACACAAGAATGACTTGTATACCAGAAATGTCACCAAGTACTACTGCAACCTGTCAAACTTCAATCAAGCTTGACATTTGGGAATTGTTTGTGAAGGGGATTTCCTTTCTATGTACCAAAAGACTTCCAAAATTATGCAAACCCTTTCACACTATTAGTGAATAATCCTGCTGCACATTGAACTATCTTGGAGCAACTAATTATATTTTAGTAAATATCATAACCTGTGCAATTAATTAAGCTAACTTTTGACATGAAAAATACTTGAGAAAAAAAAAAGACAAATGAAAGATAGAATGATTCATGATTTAAAAAAAAAAATCAATATCCATGATGAATTGAAGTCCACAAGAGAGCATTAATTAAAAAAATTTTTTTTTTAAATTCAAAAATTTTTTAAAAATATAACGCACTCAAAACACAGGAAGAGATGAAGGATAGTTCTCATCTCTCTCAGAATCCGAATTTTATCATGCTTGCTTTTCTCTGAACACAGAGGGGCATTAAGCAATGAATCCATATCAGAACAGACCACAATCCAAGTCCAGCTCACAACGGCTGCTAAACGCTGAATGACTGACATGTCCCGGACCTCTGACTTTATATACACCATCTCACTTCCTCGAAAAACCAGATCAGACCAGATCCCAAAACCTCAAATATTTTGCTCTGTTAATGACGATGCCCTGTACAGTCGACAGGTCACAAGGGGAATTCACAGTGATTATGCGCTATACTGGATAAATGAAAACAGTACTATCTCCTGCGGAAGATATGAACATACTACAACTGAGTGTTAGTTGTTTACGACACTATAGTGATTCAAGGACTTCTACATTTAACTCCTCCCCAACGATCAGCTGTTTGAAGTTGAATGCCCTCTGAAATATAACCCTGACCTTGACTGCTTGTGAACCTCTTGTTGATCAATGTAAATCCGTAACCTTCTTATCTTTAATGGCTCAGCAAAACCATCCAAAGGGGCATTGAAACTTGTTTAAATGACTTTTTTTTCAACAGTTCAATAAAACTTTCCTCATACTTGTAAGTTAGAAAAATTCTCAACCATTATGTTGTAGCTATAGCATCTTTTTACTGTGGTCTCTGATGCTTTTTGCTAGAAAATTATCTTCATCACTTAGCATTTGTAGCAGTTTTTGAGTCCTGATTTGAAACACTTTCAAAGATCTTTTCATTTATTCATAAAATAAAGGGAAATGTTTCCGAGTTTGTATTCTCCTTAAAACTTTCAGAAAGCTCTCAGAAATATTTAACTTAACTTCTTATACATGACCTCCACAAAAAAGAAATACAAACTTTTAGATTTACAATTGCATCTACATTTATTTTTCAAGTGGTTAAACACCAGCCTAAGCAGTTCATCAAAGCATTATAAAACATGTTTGCCTCAGAGCACTGCGCAGGTCCACCCTTCAAGGGCAAAGTTCGTCTGTTTGTTTACTTGAATTATCCAATGCAGCGTCAATAAAATTGTGCCCTAGGTCACCCACCCCTTGACTGCCTGATTCCAGTCCCAGGGTTGCTGTCTGACCTTGGGTTGGGGATAACAAAGGCTATTTTTATGGGGGAAACTTTCAATCTGTATTGAAAAACATTATCAGCAGATTAAACAGTATTATGTTCAAAAGAACCAATTGATAAGACTTTATGGTAAAAATGGATATTATAATTTTTTTTTGAAGAGCCCAATCCATCATTTTCCTTTGTCACAATACATTTATCATCCTCTATTTAGGTCATTATCAGGAATGCCTATAGAGAATATTTATACACAATTTTTATTTCACATTAATGTTACTAGTTGTGTCTTCAAAGAAATAATAAAAAGACTGCAAACTAGTATAAACAGGTCCACACTGCCTGCATGTGCAATTAACTGTGTAGCACTTCGTTAATTATGTGACAGAATGACCCACATCTAGCTGACAGCTGTAAATGATTTGATGACCATTATATGCCTATATATGGCCTGGTATAAGTAGGTCTGGAGGTCATGAAATAGGTCACTCGGCCAAAAATGACCACTTCAGCACATCTGATTGTCACCATCCTTGATGTTCATGTGCATGTAATAGCAAAAAATATCTAAATACATCAAAGTTTACTGCTAGCTTAGGGTATTTAATGTATCCTCTTTATGATGTACAGAAGAAAATATGCAGTACATATACATGAGTATGTATAATGCATAAATCACGTACATACAGAATATTCTATTCATCAGGTGGATTACAATATTTAAAGAACAACATTTAATCAAGGTCTTTCCTCTATATAAATATTCTTCGACACCTGGCCTGGATCACTGAAGGTCAAAAAACACTTCAGAAAACCCAGATCAATCATTCAGAGTGGACAAATATTGGCCCAATAGAAATTACTGCTGACTGGACAATAGAAATCTGATTACATGTAGTGTCCATCCAGGGAGAAGGTCAAACTGTTTATGCTATCTGCCATAGTGCGGCCTTGAAGATAGGATAAGCCCTGGCCACTGGTGGCCAGTCTATTGAACAAACAATTAGTACAAAGACAATGTAAAAACGTGAATCCTGTACACTCGTGAATCCTGTACACTCGGCTGAGGTACAATTGCTGGGTATAAGGTATTTAGCAAAAGTATACAGGCAGCAAATAATGCCCTTACAGGCAGTAGGTGAAAGAGTTTACCGGTATTGTATACCCTACCCCCTCCCCTCCCCCAACACTTTTATGTATAATTTTATATAAACACTGTAGACAGTGCATCCATCAGTGAATTATATATAATGTTTTTCAACTGTGCTAATGTGCAAAGAAAACCTGACAAAAGATAACTTTGTGTAATGAAATACAGATTCTTTACATTACCTGCCAATTAATTTCCATTTTACACACAACATACTTTTGTATTAACATTGAGTCAATATTGCTACCATATAAAGCAACACAGCTTGCTAGATCAATTCATTCTGTGTCACCTAGGTTTAAAATCTATTCTAAAAACTTTGATGGGAACCATGTCCTCAATTATGAAACATTAAAAAACATTAAAATAATTTAAATACGATTAATCTACTTAACATAGCTTAATTACGACCTTATTATATTACAGTATTTCTAATACCTACCTGGCCGTCATCCTCTGGAATATTTAGCCCAGTATAAAAAATCAATACCTTTGGTCTCTTTGCATAAATGTATATTTACGTAATTAGAAAACAATAGGATGATTTAAAGCACATCCACTAATTGTGATTTTCTGAGACATATTTTACCCTCATCTGAAACCACAAGTCTATACCTTTGATGAAATGAAAGCCATTTTGTTACCTGATTCAAATAATGTTCCATCGAAATGTTCCATCGAAAACCAAAACTACACATAAAACAGATAGACACTGGTCTGATGGTGTTCGAGTTTAGCAAAAGTCAGTTAATTGTGTTTCAATTTACTGCCAGTGGAAAATACACCTCTGTTTTTTAATCTATTATAAGCTTTATCTAAGTCAGTTATTTGTGGTATATATCATATGTGTGAAGATAATGTTTCTATTTATAGTAAACTCAAGTTCCTCTCTCTCCAGGTAGCATCCTTTTCATCCCCAACTTTTCCAAATAACATCCACATTTTGTCTTAAAACAAAACGTCTGCAAACAGGTTTCCATGAACCTATGAACCTTCTGAAAACAATATATGCCAAAGACACAAAAAAAAATTCTCTCCACAACAAATTTTCAGAAAAGTCACTTCAAGGAGACTTCAGATACAATTGCAGCTATTCTCTTTTTTTTAAAGCTCTGCATTATGCATGGTTCATCTAGGATGTTACAATTATATCTGTCGGTTGATCAAGTGCACACTTAATTTGAATGGAAACGCCCAGTACGTGTGCTTTTAATAATTCAGAGAAGATCATCCATAGTTTAAAGAAGCCTCCTGCAGAGTGCAGAGTTAAGTGTGTATTACTAATACAATACAAAACACAACAAACTGCGCATTACTGTTATAACTTCATTATTATCTACCAAATCGACCAGATAAATAAAGATCAAAATAAAACTGTTCTACTTTTTGGACGAGTCAAAATTGCTTTGTAATACTTGATTCATCAAGTTTTTTTTATGGTGGCATTTTAATCAATTCCTTTGCAATGTTCACTTAGGAAGGATGCATTGATAGCCTATAATAGTCCTTCCCCCAATCATCCATTCCAATATTTATATAAAACGCAGATAAGATGCACCTGCCCTAAAAAAAAAAAAAGTAAAAAATCTGGGTCACTTGGCACAAAGGTAAACAACAAGTGGAAAGATCAAAAAAGCAAATTTACTACATTCTTTCTTCAGCGACAAAACAATCTCACTTGATGGAAAATTTTTTGCTCTGATGTAGAGGCAGAATTGAATTAATCAATAATAAACTCTATCCTCTCAATCCAGACAGGCTGCAGTGACTTTGTTTCGTAAACTATTTGCCCTGGATGCATTGCTTTTTCTGAGGGTAACATTTAAGCACATACAAGACTCCCAATAATCTTGTATAGATAAATCTTAACAAGATGAATGTGCTGATGAAGATGAGGTAATTATTTGGGTGCAAAATGACATTCCCTGGTTTATTCACCTCACTGACAATAAAGTCTATAGGATATACACCTTTAGCAGGAATTGTGACGTCAGAGAAATCTCGCACATATAAAATGCAATATTCGCAACAAAAAGCCGCCATAATCACCAAATCACACAAACAGACAATATCCCCTGGGTCACAACCTTCCCCCCCCCTCCCCCAAAAAAAAGGCAGTCATCACCATCAAAAGGTAAAGACATCACAATATCCCCAACAGAATGCAGTCATCATCACCACAGACAACATCCTTGCATTTATCACACCTGTTACATCCACTCATGTAATGACT